GCATATTGTAGTGCAGTGTTTTATACACTGCCCATAAGTATGCTGTACGAGCTATCTAGTGCTAACGTATGTAATATAATTTGTTTTCGCCAACATGAGTGTCTATTTGTCGTTTAGGTTGCTGAGGAAGTATTGTCTTCGATAGCCTCATCGTAAATGAAGGTACGGCGCACAAGATGACGGCGGTCACGGTTAAATTGCGTAATCAGCTCCTTTGAGATGTTCTCGCGAGGCTCCAGGGTTGGCTCCCAGTCTACCAGGTAGTGTGCCTTGTTGCCCATGACCACGCACTGCAAGAGACGTCGCACTCCGTATGCCCCGCGCACTTGACCCACAGCTCCATCGGGTGGAGGAATGAGCCATTCTTGAATGTCGTCCAGCTCAACTAGCCCACGCTTCTTCTTGTTGATCTTGGCCTTGCACTTGTCCGTCAATCTGACAAAAATTGCGCGGAGAGCTTCCGGTACACGGTCTCGAGTACCGATTGTCTGGATCATCGAGTTGCGTAAGGCACGGATGGACGCGTCCATAATGCGTAGCTTGGCAGCTTTTGCAAACGTAATGCAAAGCGTCTTGAAGTCACGATAAGTGATGATGGTCTCAATAGACAACATGCTAAATTTCACAGTATGGCGGCGAAATCCAAAGTGTTTTGTTTTTAATACTTTGTTTGTGAAATTGTATTGGTTTGATTGTTACTGAATAACTGGACAGGGGAGCTGCCAAATAAGTGGCCTGTTACTGAATAACTGGCCATGTCCCATTTTTCTGCTCATCGACTTGTGCGTGGAGAAGGGCGATGGTAAGCAGAGTGCTATCGGATTCTGCGAGGCAGAAGGTGACGCTACCCGTCAGCGTCACGTGGATTGCATCCTGGATGCTGTGGCTAAGATCGTTGAGATCAATGCTGGAGACCGTACCAGCATGGAGTTCTGTGTCAAGGCGTCGTCATCTGCTTCGATCATCTTCAGACTGCTTACAGCAGTCGAGACGTTGGCAGCGCGCGCGACGGCGTCTTCAGGTTACAAGTCTGGACTTGTGGACGAAGTAAAACTCTCCGCTTGTGTTCGAATCTTCCGTGCAGTGATGCAGAACGTGTCCTCAACTACTCAACAGCAGCTGGTTGATGCTGTGGTGCCAGCATTCCTGCGCACAAATCCTTCAGAGCCGGCAAGTCTGCAACTCGTACCGCTTTTCGCTGCAGTCATCAACTCAGCCGCGCGTGATGTAGCGCTTCCGGACTCCTCGCTGGTCATCAACAGATTGCTGGAGCTTGCGCAGTCTGGAGCTACTGCGGTGTCTGAATCCCCCCCTCGACAGCTCCAGCTTGTGTACACCGATGCTGCTCTCTCCGCGGCCAAGTCGCTGGCTTCGATCGTGAACAAGATGTCGGATGGCGCTGAGTTTGATGCTCTGATCGACTTGCTGTTATCCCGGAAACTTGCCGTTGTTATCAGTAACTCGGCCGAGTCGTTTACGGTGCGGGTGGCTGCACTGCAAATTTATGCCTGGATCGCAAAGGCCTTGGTCATTCGGGGTCACAAGGTTCACGCTCCAGTGTGTCTGCGCTTCCTCTGCAGCTTTCTTACGCCTGATGGCGATGTGAACATGGAGCAAGAAGGTGACGACCAACACGCTGCTGCGTTGCGTATGGAAGTTGCGAAGACCTTTAAGCTTCTGGTGTCTGAATACCCGGACGTACTGAACCGCAAGTGTGGAGCTTTCATCACGGTAAGGAAATATGCTGGTACTATCGTGGTCTGTCCAATAGTTTGACTTGTAATGTTGTCTCTAGTTCCTGTACCGGCAGCGATTGTTTGATCTGGTGTTCCCAGTGCTGCTCGAGTACATTCGAGCTCGCATTGACGAGGAATCGAGTGTAGCAGCTCTGGTAGCGTTCGCTCAAGTGATCGCACACTCACCTAAGGCCATCTACCTGCCACACTTGGCTCAGATCTTCCCGCTTATGGTACAAGCTCTCAACACGGACGACCGTGAGCTAGGTAGCGCAGCCATTCAGACGTTTAAGCCGCTGCTTTTGGAGTCAGTGGAGAGCGCGAAGCCCTTCCTCAAGGACGTCTTCCCGGGTCTACTCAAGCAAGCACAGTTCGGGTACGTGGTCTCTTGTAGCGACAGTTAAATGTGTGAGCTAACTTGTGGGTATGATGACGAACAGACCTGCTGCCAAGGACCGACATGCTGCGCTGGAATGCCTTGCTAAGTTGGCTACCATCCCGTATGAGCTCGTGCATCCGTACAAGGATATCGTGCTGCGGAAACTGTTGCTAGTGCTTGATGACCGCAAGCGACTTGTGCGTCACATGGCCGTTCGGGTGCGCAACCAATGGAGCATCTTGTAGAGGTAGGGATGCAACGACATCAAGACTTCATTGTACCCTTGTACCGGGCAACCAAACGCACCATTGTCATCTGTATTCTATGCCAGTCGAGTCCTAAGTGCCTATCTCTCAGACAGTGTTGAGGTCCTTCTCCTTAGCAGCCAGCAGCTTGTCGATCTCGGCGATGGCGCTGTCTGTGGCCTTCTGGATGCGTTCCTTCTGCACTTCGACGTCATCTTCAGACACCGCGTCCTTGAGCTTCTTAGCGTGGTTCATGGCATCCTGTCGCACACGACGCACGTGTTGTCGAGCCTGTTCCGCCTGCTTCTTGGTGGCCTTGAGCAGGTCAGCACGAGTCTCCTTCGACATCCTGCGAGCGATTCACTTATTAGCACCCACAGCACAGTCTATCACGTATCAGCAGCCACGTACTTAGGAAAGGAGATTTCAAGCGAGCTCACGTCCTCACGCACAGAGTAAACGGCGTTCGTGCCTTCAATTGCCTTCTTCACGTCCGGCATGAGCTGTACATTGCAAAAACCAGTCAGCATACGCTCTTCTCTCCTCT